AAGTTTACCATACCTTAGTTAAACAAGAAGGGATTAGGATTGATAAAAATCCAGTCACTGCAATTCTTCACTTGGGTTAACTGCTATACATTTTTATTAGGTTACCCATAGTTTTTTAGCTTTGAAGATTATTACAGCAAGAGAATGGATCTAAATTTATCGAATTTTATCACTGGGTAAACCAACTAATATTCCAATTGAAAATGAAGAATGGTAAAAGAAGTTATATTGTATCAGATTATTTACTCTTTCTTTTCTCTCTGCTTGGGCCCTACTTTGCAGTATTGTATTTGTCAGGATGTTTGATTGAATGACTCAGTTTATACTATGGATGGTTTTATATAATGTTTATGTAATGTATGATCTGTTATTGTACTGAAAAACAAAAAGAATATTTTAAAATATATATATATATATATATATATATATATATTTATTTTTTTTAATTTTTTTTTTAGTTTGTTTCTGCTGTTCATTGTCAAGTAAGTGACTCCCCAAGGTAAGGTACAACTGTGTTACAGCAATTGGAAAAGGCTATTTACTTAATGTCGAACATGCAGCACTATGTTCAGTTATAGAACTCAGTTTAACTGAATAGTGTGTATATTTTTTTTTAGGTAATTTGTTGGTGTGAGCTTTGCCTTTTACCTCCTTCCTGCTTTCTTTTTTTCCAAATTCACTCTTAATCTGCGCTCCTTATATCTAGACTATATATTTGATAATCATTTTATTTTCTGTAATCAAACTAGTCTCTAGGGACCAGAAATTCCTCTAAAACAGAAGGTTGGCATTTAACAACAAATGGTTTGAACAACAAATAGTTTGCATTTAACAACTGCAATATTTATTAATTTGATGTAAATACAGTTGTTTTTGCTTGTTTTTAAATCCTTAATTACGATAGGGAACAAAGTGCCTTTTAAACACAAAATCTAAAAAAGAAAAAAAAAAGGAAACCATACAGCGAGTGACATTAAAGCGTATTTATGACTTATCAATTTAGCAATTTTTTTGTCTCAATATTGGCATTCGATGGTTAAGATCTATATCCCATTGTAAAGCGCTGCGGAATTTGATGGCGCTATATAAATAACATAATAATAATATCCAGTAACATGCAATTAATGGTCACTCTAAGCACCATAACAGCTTTAGATCATTGCAAATCTTTTGGTGCAGAGTACACTACACTATTTTCATCTGTTAAGTGGCTTATAACTGCAGCAGTTTGCAGAAAAAGTCAACAGTTATGAGCCTGTATTTTACTAACAAAATTGCTATGAAAGTCCAGGAAAGTGAGGATAAAAAGAATCATTATCTGGGGGAGGCACTCAGGAGCAATGGCAAGAAATAATTCATCCAGGTGACACTGTATCTCAAGTGAAAATAAATTGTAATATTACGTGTGATACACAGTAAATAGATATACCTTACATATACTCAATGCCTTAGTGTTAAGTATAAATGTAAAGATTTGGACAATAAATAGGCAGGAAACAATTCAACTAAGCAACTTTAATTTGAGGATTCCTATTATTTTGGTCTATTGTATGATATTTTTATTAAGACTTGGTCGTCATTGATTTTGTAATAAAGAGGGGCTTTATTTTTAAAGGAATTATTTCCTAAGATTTTGCCCAGTGAACTCCATAGATATTGGATATAGGTCAGGTTCACATTAATATATTTCTAATGCAATAGCACAAATATCTGTAGAAATTAAGGAGTACCACTTACGATACACCTTCAGATATCGGACACTGTCTATTGTGCCATATTAACAGGTGTAAGTACCAAAAAAATTTAAATAAAAAAAATCATCATCTCAATTAAAGTGGCACATAACACCATCCTCAATTATGTCTGTACCTGAACTGATGATTATTTTAAAACTAAATAGGTCACTTTTTAGAAAGGTGCAGCAAATTGCCCATTTATAAACCACTCCTTAGAAACAGAGTTCTTGGTACTCCCTGTACCATATTCAGGGATGCAAAGCTGTATTCCATATTTGCATCATTGATTATGGTGACATTCGGCTACAACTAACTCAAAGGATGAAATGCATTTTTAATCACCATTACTTTGAAAATAAGCACAAAATTACTGTAAATGTAAATTTGGCATGTCATACAACAATCACAAAATATGTATATAAAAAGAAAACTATTGCTATTCTGTGAATTTGGGTTAAAAGTTTTCATAGACTTTGTTTTTTTTATAATTAGTTTGTTCACCTCTTTATACAACCTCTCAGTGTACTATATCTCATAATACTTAATAGGTCCGTAAACACAGTACATGGAAACAGTCTACCAGACAAACATTTCTGCAACATCACATTGTCCCAGCTTAGCATGTCTACTAATGGAAGTGTAGCATAACTATTTCTACAATCCGTTCTAATTCAAATTTAAAAACTGCTCAATTTAATATTATATGTTACATGAGCTCTGAAAGGGATGC